AACCCCACGTAGGCACTCACGTACCGCCAGACTGAATACATATCTCACTCGACAATCAATCAATCTAACAATCACACACGAACCTACCTAGAACCCATCATGCACGTTCATGCACATTAGACCATAATACAGCCAGCACATCACAGCAAGGAATCACAGACGCGCGCGTGCCTCAATTATAAGATAGAAACCACTTGGGCACATCCCATACCGTGCCTAACAGTTTCTACCCTATAATTAAGCATCACATCACGCGATACAAACACACTCGCACACTACTCACACCATGCGTCACTTTCTCAAACCTCGCACCTCAAGTCAATTCCCGTTCATTCTCAACTCTTCCACCACTACCGCGCCCGCGTAAAACGCATCAGGCCAACGGTCTTCTGACCACGTCAGGCATCGACAGCCCGTCGGGCCGAGCATCGTCACCTCGTCAGGGACGGCATCGTCCCGCGTAAACGAACACACCTCAGGACGGAATCCTACACACACTTTCCTTCTACCGCGCCCGCGTAAAACGCATCAGGCCAACGGTCTTCTGACCTCGTCAGGCATCGACACCCCGTCGGGCCGGGCATCGTCACCTCGTCAGGGACGGCATCGTCCCGCGTAAACGAACACGCCTCAGGACGGAATCCTACACACACTTTCCTTCTACCGCGCCCGCTTAAAACGCATCAGGCCAACGGTCTTCTGACCTCGTCAGGCATCGACACCCCGTCGAGCCGGGCATCGTCACCTCGTCAGGGACGGCATCGTCCCGCGTAAACGAACACGCCTCAGGACGGATCCTTTACCACAAATCCTACATTTCCATACCCTCGTTCCACTCAAACCACACTTACACACGGCCAACAATCGCACGGCCAAACATACACACCTCGCACACACATTTCACAATTTCACATTCTCGTCACACGAACACGCCACCCAATCACACATTCTTGGCACGCGAATACAATACGCGAAGGCACTATCACACCACCACGCCTCACGGCCACACATCTACGGCACATTACCGCACCACCTTCAACCCAAGCATAATCCAAATCAGCCCACAATCACAAATCACACAACCACGTACACAATTCAATTCATAGCATAATCCCACCGATCGATTGCACAATTCAACCCCCAATCCAGCCACAACATCACAGCCTTACCCGAGCTTCCTAAACCTCAAATTTTCATCGCCAATTCAATCCACAACCACCAAACAATCAGCCACTCATTCAGTCCCAAAACAGCCACAAAATTGCCTCATCAAAATAAATAGTAAACGAACTCCAAAAATTCTAAAATTTGGATATATCATAAAACACATCTTGATCAACATTTCTTATGAATAACACAAAATCCGGTTCAATCTACAACCATGCCTTTTTGTCCCTCGAAATCAGACCAAAATCAGTTCGCTCTAACAGACTATTTTGTCCTCAAAATACATTTCTTTCAACACCCAAATCACCTTGAAAAGATTTGAAATTTTAATATATTATAGAAACAAATGTCCCCAACAATTTTTGTGAAGGAAGTATTTTTAAAATAGGCCTGAAAAAATTTATAAAAATTCCAACAAACCAGAAGGTCGGGTGAACAGTAAAAATTCCAAAGATGGACTTCCGAATGGCCTCAAATGATTTCCAAAAATTCCCAAATTAAAGTATGTTATACTTCAAGATGTTGGGAGCAACTTTAATGAATAAAACTTCCTCAAATTCTGCCCCCAAAATTCTCCACAAAAATAGCAAACCGGAGGGGTACAGTAGTCACAAATCCGAAAATCACACCAAATCACACGAATTCAAACCGTAATCGTTCCGTATCATCACGGCCCTATCCGAACCTCCCAAACCTCATATTTTCAGTCTCCAAATCAGTCCACAACAACCAATTTCCAGCCCCTATCTGAAACCCAAAACAGCCACTTAATTCACCCTAAACCGAGTCCTAAACGAGCCTAGCAATACCCGAGGTCCTAGGTAGTTTTTGGGGGAGACACTTACCTAAGAAAAACGCGACAAACTGGCTAGACAAGGGCTGGAGCAACCGGCCCAGCAGCAGTAGCAGCAGCAGCAGCGTCGCCGGCGGCCAGGCAACGAACGGCGGCGCGGCGGCGGCGTGCGGCGGTTCCGGCGAGTCCACGGCCGAGCAAAGGGGGAGGACGGGAGAGAGAGAGAGAGTGAACACGGGAGAGAGAGGGAGGCTGATCGTGGGGGTGGTGATGGCCGGTGGTGATGGGCTGGAAATGAAGAGAGAGAGAGTGAGTGGGTTTGACTAAGTTGGACCAAAATTTCCAAATGCCTAAATTGCCCTTAAACACTTGGTTCTCATTAATCCTTATCCAATAATTGAGGGGTATTTTGGTAATTCACTAGGATGCATTATTGGGCTGATATTATCCATAAAATATCCCCAAAATAATTTTCCAAAAATTCGGAATCCCCAAAATTAGGCCTAGGGGCAAAATGGTCATTTTTCCGGTCCCGGGTCGAAATTCCATTTTTCGTCTGTACCAACCCCAAATGGGTGTGGCCAACATAATATGGCGTCAGAATCGTGAAAATAGCTTCTTAAGCCCTCGAAAATCGACTGCAAAGTCCTGGGGATTAAAATAATATTATTTTTCACTTCCGAGCCAAAATTCCAATTTTTGACCGTAACCACTCCAAATATGCGTGGCCACCCCAAAATGACATCGGCCTCGAAAGATAATCTCATACGGCCTCAGAATCAACGTCGGGGTCCAGAGGGGCAAAATCGTAATTTTTCCGATCACGAACCGAAATCCATTTTTTTGCAGAAATGGGTGGCCCCAAGGTTGGCCAAGCCAAAAACGTCATCGGCAGCTCAAAATTGTCACTTTCAAAATTCTCGATTCCCGGGCCCGAATTCCAAGAAATGACTAAAATTGAACAATCGCGACTTTAGCTTATATCTGGCTAACGGGTGGCTCATTGGGATTACGCGCTCTCGACCCGTGACCGACACTAAGTCAAATCACATTTAAGTTTGCTCGAGCCAAGGCGACCTCGATTGTCATGTAATTGCGAGGATCTGTCACTAGTTCCCTTCGGACACGATCAATCAATTAGATCGGTCTCGGTTGGCTCAAAACATTCCCTCGTCAATCCATATGGTCGAAGATCGGACCCAGGTCGAGTTCTTTGGTCGTGCGAACTCAATCCCGTAATAGCCCTACCCTTAAGATTAGCATCCCGTGAATGCGCTATTCCGGGTGAGATCTCACTATAAGTGCATTGGTCAAATATTCATTTCATAATCCCGGGAAAAGGATCGAAAATTCATACTGTTACAAAAATGACACTTAAATGATCCGAAAAAACTTTTGGCACTAAAGTGAGTACCATACAAAACTTTTGGCACTTCTATTGTCCTTATTCCGGAGATGATGTCAACCAATTCCTCCAGCCTTTGATATTGATTTTGCAATTTGCTCCAGTAAAATGAAATATTAGACACCCAAGCTAGCGAAATCAATAGGAGATGATGTCAACAAATTCGTCCTACCTTTGACATTGATTTTGTAGATTGCTCCAGAGAAAAGAACGGATTTGAAAGGGAAACCAGGATTGCCTGCTTGGCAGCGTCTACTGCATTAGTTTGCTTCAAAATGATGAAAAGCTGGCCACAACCCTAATATGGTATCATAGGAATATGCTGAAGTAGACTGAGAAAAAATTGTCAATCAGCTTGAGAAAAAAAATTGTGCATGATGCAGAAGAAGATGGATTGTTGCACCAAAAGATTGCAGTAGTTAGAATTGGTTGATTGCATTGTAATTAGTATTGGGTTTTGAATGATCATCAGAGTGAAAAAATCATTTTCTAGATAAGAATAATGCAGCGTTCTCATTATTTAAGCTATCATTGAAAAGTGTCACTCATGGAACCTTTTGCCTTCAAAAATTTCAGAGTTCAGTCTAGGAGCTGAAATTGTAACAGCAACATTGCCTATTTGGTAGTTGCCGTGTAGGTACAGCACCCATTAAACACTCAAAATGAAATCAGGACCGGTGGAACCTTAATATAGCATCTGCTGACAACAACAGAATATGTTGAGTAGGCTGAGAAAGAATAGTCAATGTGCTTCAACTAGAAGAAGAGGAATGGTTGCACCAAGAAGATGGGATTAGTTAGAATTGGTTGATTGTATTGAAACTAGTCAGTTTTTAGTTGTCTGATCACATATAGTATTGATACCTTGGAAAATTGATTAAAGTAGAGAACTTTATGGTTTTCCCATTTCCTAACACTTGACTAACAACCTTAATAATCATCCATAACTAATTACTATCAAGGTCCAGCATCCATGCAAACAATTTGTTTCACGGATATACCTTTATGATTCTAATCATTGTTAAGCTATAATGCAAAATGAAAATGCATCTGTTTTTGGATTAACAATAATGCCGAATCAGTAGTTTAGGTCTCCAACTCGCTTGTGCTGTTGGGCCTTCCACGGTTCTGTTAAGTCAATATAACAGAAGATTCTGGTGCATTGTTCAACCATAATGGTCTCCAACTCGTTTGATGGATGACAAATCGATTGTCATACTTTTTCAACTCTTTACAGTAGCTTAAGGAGCTACTAATGCAGGAGAAACCTTACCAGCTTCCGCATTTCAACTTATCTTAGTACCTAACATAAATATAATAAGATTAACAAATCAATTCGGAGATTCACTGGTGACTTTATTACAATCACGGGGAATTCAGGAAACTTGCTAATATATGTACGAGGATAACTACATAGCTATCGTTTTCTGTTTTTCATTTCTTCTATTACTTACTTTAGCACTTATTAAGACCTCCTCTCATTCATAGATTATGTAAATAGCAAAAGGACATAATCAATGGGGAGCAAAACCTAAAGGAAATGCAATTTGAGAACCCCAACTAACATGTCCAACAGAACTCGGTGGAAACAAGGGACACAAAGTGGTGGATCAAATATCTCAAACTAGTACACACTGCAAGCAAATAGCAATGATAATTTCTCATAAAAGAGGAGTTCTTTGAGGCTTCATTCCCAATAAACTCAATGCAGCATCATGATCCCTGAAACTACTGAAGTTTCCTTGTTACTGATTGTTCATTAATAGTTACTTATGCAGCCTAAGCAGAACTGGCAATGGTTATTAGCAGTTCATGCTTGTAAAGCATTCGGGTTGGAAATCCTCTGACATGGTAGAGTCTCGTGTCGAGGTCGCTGTCCTTTTCTGTCATGGTTCCAGGAAATAAGTTCATCACAATAACCTCAAAGTAGTAGGTGGTGCAGAAAACAACACGGTCTTATTATACTGAAATCAATACAAGATGTGACAGAAGGAAACTTTCTTCATACGTGAACTAGGAACTTCATCAGATGACTTAAGGTATTTGTTTGTTTAATCAAGTACAGAGATGACGACATCATCAGATGCATTTCTCAGGCTAATTGTAGTACCAGAACTTCTTCTGAAGTTTCTCAACAAACTTCTCATCCACCTGGAACCCCTTGGCTAGAACCTCTAGGGAAATAGGCGGCTTTGCGTTAAACAATGCATTGGCTATAGTGATGACTCCTGGGTTTTGGCTGCTTAGAGCGGCAATCGCAACTGCATTGGTCTTTCCAACATTGAGCTGGAAGTGAATCATATTGATCGGGAAAACAAAAACATCTCCAGGGTGGAGGACTTTCTCAAAGAAAGTATTGTTCAGTTGGTTGGACGTGACAAAGCCTACATAGAGAGTGCCCTCCAAGACGAGCAAAATCTCGGTGCCACGAGGGTGAGTGTGCGGAGGATTTAAACCACTTATTCCAAAGTCAATACGAACCATGGAAATGCCAAGAGTATTGAGTCCTGGTAGCTGGTCGGTGAACACAGGGGTGACTGTGGAGCCCACGGGATTGGCCGTGCTTCTAGGAACTTGTAGGCCAGAAAAGAGGAAGTCGTTTGCTGTGGTAAGAGCAGGGTTCTTGCAGAACTTTCCATTCACAAACACTGCATAGAGAGGAGTTTCTGTTAAGAGGAAATTGCTGCTGACATATACCTTTGAGGCACATCCTATGATACAATAAGGTCGCCCCAAGAATGAGAAATGTTATCTTTTTGTTAACTCAATTGTCTTGTTTTCTGTGAAATTAGTGTACTCAATGTCTTGTTCGAAAAAATTAATTGCAATGCCTAAAGAGCATCCCCGGTGCATCCATCAAGGGAATCAGTCTTAAAGGAGGACTACTCTGAAATCAAGAGCAAAATGTATTAATTCGGAGTGTTCTACCAAGCAAGGGAAACACAAGCTTACAAGCATTTTTGGGTTCGTTGACTGCCACACAGATGTCCTGCAGGGGACTTGGGTCGTACGCGTCGGCGAAGGACAGCGCCAGAGCCAAGAGTGCGAGACTGGCAGAAAGTCGAACGCTCTTCAACATTTTGGATTTTGTCTGCCTGTGTTTTTTTTTCTACTCTCAAGTGCTCTGGTGGATGCGAACACTTGCTTCGATATGATGCCTATTTATAGATGCCAGACCTCATGCACTTCTCCTATTTTTCTCCACAAAGCACAGAAACATTGACATAGTGTAACGATTAGTCGTTAAGCCATTGTCCTTTTATATTCAGAGTCAGTACAGCGTTTCCAACAGCTACAGCTAGGGTAGTTAACATGCTGATATTACTGCAATCCAATCTTTTCTAGGTTTCAAGTTCTCTGTCACTGCAGCACACTTGAATTGGGTCGTTTCAATGCCGAGTTGCCGATGATACAGATGCTTTGGCATACTAGCACGGACAAGTAACCAATTCATCCTTGTACAGTTCCGAAAATAAAGTGAAAAGTTAACAATAACCTCTCGAGACAAGATCTAGGGTACCATAAGCTGTGAGAGACCTATTATTCAATCCTCGGCCCGGTAAGTTCCAAATATATAGTTAAGGATTTGACGTCACGACCAAGTATCGGGGCACCAATGAGAAATAGAACTGACCTAATTCAAAAAAAAAAAAAACACCAATTTTACCTTGAGTGACAATTCCAGCCAGAACTTTTTTTTATGTCTAAAAAAAAATCATTAACTTTCACTTAAATCACAAATCTGGTCCGAACAATTTGAAAATTTTACATCACGGGAGCCAAATTTGGTACTTAAGTAAAAGTCTGTGCTTTTTATTGAGAAAAAAAAAACTTCGACTCAGAATTGCCATCCAAGATAAAGTTTGTGCTTTTCTTTGGAATTAACCCAAATGAAATTAGAATAAGGCTTTGAGCTTAATAAACCCATAAGGAGTCAAGCATATAAGCCCACAAGAATTAAAGGTTTTAGCCCATAACTAGGATTAGGAAAAAAAAACTAGTTTTCACTATAACTAGGCTCTTAACCCTCGCAATCGGGAGAGGTTGGTAAAAAAAATTTAGAGAGAGCACAATAGAAAACACAGAGAGATTGTGAGAAAGAAAGAGAAGAGAGAGAGGGAGCCTCGGTCAAGGCTCCCCTTTCCGTGATCGAGACCACACTGACCGAGCTATCGCTGCCTCCCACCGCCGATCGACGTCGCTGTGGCTTCCTCACCGTCGAGCCAGGCGTAAGGACGCCGCTACTTTCTCCTTGTGTTGGCCACAACGACGCTGTTCCAAGCCCTCCGCCGCTGCTGCTTCCCTGCCACGACGACCTGTAGTCCAGACGCGAGGTGACAACGCGATCAGCCCCTTCCAGCCACCCACCACGACGACTTTGCTGTTATTTGCCGAGCTCTGCACCGCACGAAGACCTGCTGCCCTGTCAAGCAAGTGGTCTGTGACGACAACCAAACTGGTTCCAGCCGTGATCGTGTCAAGCACTGCCGCAAGTCCTCGTCGAGCCAGCCTAAACTGAGAACTCCATCACCACCGCTGCTCTGGACAACAAGCTGCTCGTTGCACCACCGCGACACCAACGACACAGCCGGCCCCGACCAAGAAGCCCTTCGACGACTAGCCGTGCTGCCTCGTGCTGTTAACCGTCCCAGCAAGTATATGGTTTTGCAGGTGCTCTGAGAACTCCAGACCAGCATCAACCGCGAACCACCGGGCCACAAGACAGCCTGTCAACCTCAGCATGACCATCCTTAATTTCGACCACCTGCTCAAGTCAAGCACCTACACCGAAAGCTCCCTCACCGTCGACTCCACCGACAGCAAAGGAGCGAGCCCCACCGTCGGTCCTTGCTCCTTGCCTCCACCGATCACCATCCAAGGGTCCTAGCCGCCCGTCCTCTATTCGGAAACAAATCTCCAAGGTAATAATCCAATCCAAATTTGAATTCTAAATTTTATTTCCTAATTTGAGTATATCATGATCTAACTTTGATTCTTTGATATATTTGACATATCTAAATTAAAAAAATCTCCTAATTCATAACATTTGCATTATCGGTAACCTAGGCATGGAGATAGGGTTATGGATTGCACAGAAAACCGGTAACTTAATCTTTAAGCATTAAGATCGGGGTGTCAGTTTTATTTGTTTCCAAGTTTGAATTGATTTGATATCTTCGGTGATTTTGAGCTTCTCTTTTGCAATTTATAGTTTATCTTGTTTGATTGATTTCCTTGTTCGAAAAATACAAAAAGATAGCATTGTGTTATGGGCCGACAGTTCCATGGCCATGGAATAACCCGCGCGGCACCTGGCGAGCCGATAAGACCCCATGCAAACCTTCTTTTTATAGTTGTTTTCAAGAACAGTGCGACGAATCACATTCTCGTATCAGATCGTATCATGCACAGCTTAACTCGGGCATCGAGTCTCTCAAGCTAGACACACAGAACGCTTTAGGCACAACAACTGATTTCAATGGCTTCATTAGGAGAGGGGCATTAGCTTTCAACCAATTTGTGCACGGAAGGCCAATCCCGCCTTCAAAGGGTCTGTTTAGTAACGTTTCTATTTTTTTGTTTTTCTGTTCGTTTGTTCCCCGGAACAGAAAAAGAACATAAATCCGTTTAGTAAAAAAAATCTATTTTTTTTGTTTCTAGAACAAAAAAGTGTTCCAAAAATAGATTTGGAACAGAAACAAGAAGCAAAAAAAATCTGCTTCTTGTTTCTGGAACAAGAAAAAAGAAACGATTTTTTTTTCTAGAATTCTCCAAAAATAAGAAACAATCCATCGGCCGCAACCCGCCCACGGCCGCCTCTCGCCGTCCTTCGCCGCCACCTACCGCCCGCCTTCCGCCGCCGTCGCCCGCCGGCCAACGCTCGCCGGTCGCCTCCCGCCCGCTGGCCGCCTCTTGTTGTCGACCACTGTTCTCTGCCGCTCGACGCTTGTAGCCACCCGCCACCGGCCGCCGTCCTCCACCGCTGGCCGCCATGCTCCATCGCCAGACACCGGTCGCCACCCGGCGCTGGCCGCCTCCCCTCGCCAACCACCGATGCCGGCGATCACCCACCACCGGTCGCCGTCCTCCGCCGCCGCCAGCCATCCACCACCGGCCGCCATCCTCCGCCACCGGCCATTGTGCTCCACCGCCCGACGCCGGCCACCACCCGACGCTGACTGCCCTCGGCCGCCGGCCACCTCCGGCCTCTGGCCACCTGACGCCGGTGCTCACCCACCATCGGCTGCCATCCTTCGCCACCGGCCGCCGTGCTCCATCAACCGACGATGGTCACCCTCCACCGCCAGCCACCTCCCGCCGCCGGCCGCCATCCTTTGTCGCCGCCGACCACTGTCCTCCGCCCCCCACCGCCACCCGCCGTCCTCCGCCGGTAGCCCAGAAGGGAGAAACTTGTCCATGGAATAGAAATGGATCATTCACACCCTAAACGCGTTTTTATTCTTTTTTTATTCCAGGAATAGAAATTTTGTGCAGTTACTAAACGCTATTTTTTGCTCAGAAACTGTTCCAAGAAATAGAAATAGAAAAAACTATTTTTGATCAAAAATTGTTTCTGGGAACAGAAACGTTGCTATGCAGACCCAAAAAGCTTCTAGGGTATATTCATTCTAACCTAGAACTCCTAGCACAAACCACCCTGACACCACTCTCACGAACTAGTCATATAATCCCATTTGCATCACTCACTCTTCACCCGACACCTAGCTCCACTCACAAGAGTACGATAGTACGAGATAATCACAGTCCGTGCCATTCTCCCCCACTCAATCCCGCAATGCCCTCGCTGCAAGCTATTCTGTCGCTTCCCTGCATTTCCTAACTATCAAAGCCATTCCTGGGACTTACATAAATGGTAATGCTCGCCCAACATAACAGGCCACTCCACTCCACTAGTAGCTTCCCTCGATCAAAGTTGTTCGCGAATCTCTAGTCACTTGTGCTCCCTGACAAGTGTGGCATCCCTAGCCAGCTGCACTCCCTTGGTAGTACCTTATTTCGCCTACTAGGCTTTTCATGATCTCAGTAAATCGACAGAGGATTCTCCCCTTGTTGGAAATGTGATAGCAGACCTCCTCTTGAGATTCGCTAATTGATCCAAGAGTGTTATCCCTGTTCAGTGACTAATTTGATTCCACCCTGTGCCCCCATTGCCATCCTAGATTCTAGACAAAAGGCGCACACTGATCGAGCCCACTTGGCGTCGGCGATTCACTCTCCACCCTCAAAGACCGGGAAGACCACATGCTTTCGCCGAATCACCCACCTACTAGAGGGATCCCTGCTCTGATACCATTGTCATGGGCCGACAGTTCCTTGGTTACAGAATAGCCTGTGCAGCGCCTAGCAAGTCAATAAGACCCTAGGCTAGCCTTCTTTCTATAGTTGTTCCCAAGAATAGTACAATGAATCACATCCTCGTATCAGATCGCACAATACCTAGCATAGCTCGGGCATCCAGTCCCTTGAGCGAAACACACAAAAAGCTTTAGGCACAACAACTGGCTTCAGCCTACTATGGCCTCATTAGAAGAACGGCATCAGCTCCCGACCAGTTTGCACTCGGGAGGCCAACTCCACATTTAAAGCTCCTAACAGTCTATTCATTCTAACCTAGAACTCCTAGCATAAAACACCCTGACGTCACTCCTATGAACCAGTCATATAATCCCCTCTGCATCAGTCACTCTTCACCCCAACAACACCAAGCTCCACTTACAAGGGTACGAGAGTACGAAAGAATCATGATCCACGACAATTGCATGATATATTTGATTTATTTTCTAGATCATATTGCATGTGTCACGCCCCGACTCAAATCCAATGCTTTCCACACCTTACTTCCCATAAGTCGAACGATGCGACATCCCAGGAGTACGTCGCCGACTCAACGGTTTCGCATCAGAGTCAATTGTAGCGGAAACAAATAATTAAACCCAGACAAATAAATTGGAGAACACCATAATTAACTAGCACGCCTAACCGCCAACAATTACAAACCTCACATTACCACATAAATTTACAACATCCATGTGCAAGTACACCTATACCCGTCCGCCATTCCTTGAGTCCATAAAATCTATATGTACACCCACTACGATTACCTTAAAAATCATACACCAAAAAGG